AGTTGCCATGTAATTATGGGAAGCTCATCCTCCATTTTAGCAAGCTACGTTCCCACCCCACCCTCTCTTCTGTGCAAATGTGGACAACAATAAATAACAGAATAGTGCCTCTGTAGCCATCTTCTTCTTCTAGATGTTACAAAACAGCTTTTGGTGATTAGTCCCTGCCACCCCATATGGTACTCGCACCGTGAAATGGCAGACACATGAAGCACGCATGCTCCTGCAGTGTACACCAGCAAACTTTGCTGGTCCCCCTGCAGCACAGGATGATGTAGCATTCATCTGAGATGGTATCGCTACAAAAGGCGCCATGAGAACAGAGCAAAACACAAAACTTTCGGTGCCATAATTGTCTCAACCACTTCTGAGAGAAAAGAGCTGGTTTAGGGGAGTTTCTGAAGGAGAAGATCCGGAGGGGCGGATTCCCACCCAGAACAACGTCCCTTCTTCCTTCTGCTCGCTGGCACCCATCTTTTGAGTGGCCTGAAACAAATACTTCAAAACACCCAGGAACTTGGCATGATTTCAAATCCAGGTACAAATATTAAATACTCCTCCTGGTTTCCAAAAGACAGTTTGCACCACCACTTTGGCAACTAATTAACTTTGTCCAATTACATGGTTTTATTTTCAGACCTGGCACCTTGAACTATCAGAGCAGATCAAGAATAGCAATGGGCATTTTGCCTTTAAGGTGAAACAACATCCTAAAGCCTGTACTTTGTTACGAAGGACTTCTAAAATCTGCCCCTTCTTGGCCCCCAGGTTCAGCACTTCATTAAATCTAGTCCTAGCTGAAGCAACAGAAGCTCTAAGGATATCTTTGCTTTAGGACTATTACTAGGTGTTTAATGAGGCAAACGTGTGATCCTATAATGTGTAATAGAGACATTTTATGAATTGCAACGAAGCTGAAAGCCATAATGTAGATGGTATTACATTAGAAACCTCACCTGTGTTGCACATACACCAACCTCGTCTCTCTAAGGCAAAGCTGTCACGTAAGCACTCAACAGACGAATAGGAAAGTTTACTCTACATCCCTCAAAGGCCCCCATTTAAAAAAAGTACATTTAAAATATGCTCTGTACAGCTGTTGTCTTACCATTTGCCTTGTGCTGCACATCTGGCGGAAACTGGTCAGGAACATACCACTGATAGTCTGGCTGCACAGAACAATAAAACATTATTACAGCAATATGGAGTTCATAGACACTTCAAACAAAAGAATAGTGACATGATAAAAATATAATTGTGCTGTGAAGTTTTTTATTAGTCATACAAAAGTAGTTTACAGAAAATCTTATATTTAGCTTTATATTTCCACTGATCAAGTCTTTCAGCTTGCTTCCTTTTTTATGGCATGTGGTTTAGATGCTGCACTCATTAGAAATACTGGTGTAAACCTTTCTAGATCCCACAAATCAAAAGAAACATTAACAGAAACAAATCAGATTTTAAAAGGGCTAAGGAATAAAGTGCACCAGAAGGCACTAGCAGGCATCACATTCTCTGTAGTAAAGAACCCCAGAGAAACCTGGTACACATCGACCTGACAGGTGAAGCTGTTCCAGTCTGAATATGTGTAACATCTGTAACATGTTTCAGTGTGACAGGAATAATCCATTTAATAAAGTTCTCTCCCCTCCTCCCTTCCCCACAGGTCAGCATTAGTGTTACTATAACATTAGCTGTTATCAAATAACTTCTTGAAAACACTGTGGGATGGGAAAAATTCCCGTCTTTCTTATAAGAGGAAGTATTGGGAAGGTTATGTCCCTGCAAACATAGTTTTGTCCAGGGAAATCCTGGAAGAAAGAAATACTGCACTATAGTTTATACCACACACTGTGGTAAATGAGTAGCAAATTACCGCTAGAGAAAACAATTCTGGGACCAGACATCTCAGTTGAAGCTGTATTAAGATGTCTATCTGGTTTAAGTAGCACATGCAAGCTTGTCAAATTCCAGGTAATTACCGCTTCAAATTAGTTAAGCTGGGAAAATAATTCTTGTTTTGCAGAAATTACTCTGACAAAATCCTGAGTAGTCCCAAGGAGACTCTTACAGATTTCAGCTTGTAGGGAAGAAATTTCATAGACTTCTAAAGAAGTTTTGCCTAAATTAAGGTGGCAGGATGAAGCTGCAGATGCAGAAAACAGATTTAACTTTTATGCATACTGTCATTCGTAGTTACATAGCAGTAATCACTCTCATACACTGTCAGGAAAAAAGGAGCTATCCTATTTTCACTTAAATTACACCATCCACAGGAATTACTAACTAATTCTGTGCTTGTGGGCAAACAAAATAGGCTTTGATACAAAGCAAGACTCTGCTCTGCTTTAAGCACAGGTAGTTTTTCCACTGGTGGCTCAAAATACACTTATTTGCATTGCTTTTTTGAGTTTCTGTTGAATTTTCTGTTCTCTGATCTACTTTTTCATACATATTTACAGTATGCAAACTTGAATGAATTTCAGAAACAAGACATGTATTTCATGTCAGACTAAACAAAATGTTTCTACTAACAATGTAAAAAGGAACAAAAAGGTGCAAGATATAAAAAGAACGAAAAAGCAAAAGCACAGACTAAACACACAGGATTACGTACATTAACTCAGGACACTCGTTAAATTCTAACACCTTTCTTCATTGCTAAACAAATTGTTCAGGGAGATATCAAAAGCTCAGAGCAGCAATGCTGCACTCACACAGAAAAAGAATTTCAACGAAAACTCAGAATGAAACTGGGAGTTACAAAGCAACCAGTCAAACTGACCCCAGTGCTTCGGCAGGAATGGCAAAGTTGTAAACCCAGTGATCCCTCGTAGAATTAGAAACCCAGATGATGAAAGTTCAGGGAGAAGAGCCAAAATAATCTGGGACAGTGTCCAAATTGTAGTGAAAAACATTCTGCAATACTTCCAACTCTGATCAATAGGCAGATAAGCACACTCCTGAAGCATAGAAATTACTTGTTTGACCAAAGCTTTTCCGTTAGATTTCTGCAGTCTGAAAGCCTTATATGTGTTTTGCAAAAATTTGGCTATAATTTCTCAAGTAATGAGCATCTTTCCATATGCAACAGCTTTATAGCCAGAAACAGATACTGCATATTTAAAATGACATTCACCATGTTTAAATGCATTCTCACTAGATTTGAACAAGCACAGCCCACTTAGATAACCCAAAGCACTTAAAAAATATCACTCTTTAAAGCAGTAATTTCCTTGAAATAGGTAACTCCCCTTCACATAACCTACTACCCTAGTGCAAAGCTATTCTTCTTCGTGGTGAGGAAGACAGGACCCTGTTGTGTGCCAGAAAAAAAGGCAAATTTCCTATTATGTTAGGCACACTCAGATATAAATTCCACTTCTGCTGATACTTTTTTTTTTTTTTTCCAGTGTACAGACCTGCTTGGGAAAATTGCATTCCTAAAGCACTCACAGCCAGAGTGTCTTACCCTCAGTAGAACCTTATTCCTCATATAATCCCATTTCACAGCAGCATACCAGAGGGAAGATACTACTGGGTACAAGCCACAAAATCTGGGATTTCGCCCTTACAGTTTAATAGCAGCAATGTGAATCCTGCCAACAGCTTGTCTGCCTGCCCCAGAAGGCGTACAGGGAACCTGGGTTTGTGCAGTCTGCCTACAGCGGTATTGCCTGATGGCAGGACAGTTATATTACCTATGAATATAGGAGCCGTAAGAGAAGAAGGAGGAAAGTCATTTTCCAAAGACAGGGCCAGAGAAAGAAATACCCAGTGTAAGACATGGAAATAAGACATATTAGTCAACAAGCTTTCTTAGACTGAATAGAGGGGAAGAGATCAGAATAATGCTGACCACAGCTACATTCTCATTTTTGTTGTTATCATTTATACTGAAGGCCTAGAGCTGGGGTCCAGAGAGCAGATCCATATTTATGAATTTGGGTAACTATATAGCTAGGAAGGGCTCTGAATGTGTGTCGTGGAAGTAAATTAACCTAAGAAATCAGCAAGAGTCCAATCAAACAACCTTATTTTTTCAATTAAGGAATGACCACCAGTATCACTGAAAAAAAATGCATAATAATCCCCTTTTTCTTCTTAGTGGTATTGTAGATAAATAGTATTTGCCAAAGTATATTTAAAATAGATAAGAATATATACTTAAAGTACAACTCATCAACCATATATTTAAATTGCTGCAATTGTTCCTCTTTGTGCACAGATTTCTGTTGGTTATGCTTTGATTTGCACATAGCAGCAAGAAAAAAACACAACTATCAGGAGAAAAATCAGCATTTTGGGGCAGATAGTAAGGGAAGAGAGAATGTACAAAGATCAGGAAGGCTGTTCCAGACCTGGGGCTAATTCTAAAACCAGTACAAAATCTTGATCTGGAACCGACAACAAACTGGGAAAAACCAGATTTAGTTACTGGTGAGGATAGCGCTGTGATAGCACCATGTTATTCTCCTGTGGTCACCATGCTGTAAGAAAATCAGTGGCCTTGTGAAATGGAAGACAGCAGGAACCTTACTGAGTGCTGTTGCTGTTCATGTGCCCTGCAAGACGCTGAATGTACTCGAGGATCTTGATAGTGAAGAACCAACCCACAACTCCTATAATTAACACATGGTGAGAAGAAGACAGGAGGTGGATAGCTGGGCCTCTCAGACTGTACCGGGAGGTCTTTTGTCTGTTAAAAAAACAAGAAAAGCAAGAAGAAATGCATTAGTAGCAGGATATGATGACCAATAGAATATTCATGTACAAATTCATCATTAAAAAGCAACAGGGAAGAAACCCTCCTCTCTCAGCATGGGTGGCAATGCTGCTCGTTTAGACCCTTCAGACTGTTCCTGATTTAAAAAATTATTTAAGAAAGCTGTCTTGAGCTGTCTTGTGCCACACCAGACTCTTGACACTTTTTATGTGAGAAAATATTGGTTTCAAGACATGGCAAGCACATTTCTGGGTGTTTTCTATATTCAAGAAACATTTTCATTACATATAATAGCTTTCAATAGTTTGAAGCAGAGCTAGATGGACAGGCACTTGCATAACAAGAAAAATAAATAATTTTGGTAAAGGACCAAAGTCAATGGCCTCAAGATTTGGGTCTGCCTTTTCTTAGGCCCTCTGTGTCCCAGCAGAGTCAACGGGAATTTGCCTAAGGACAGAGTGAGGAGGAGTAAGAGATGAGTCACAACTAAGTAATTTGACTTAAGAAAACAAACTGATAAATATTCTATATGGTTCCTCTCATGTTTAAAATATTTCATGAGCTCTATTTAATCAAATCCCAAGGCAGGAAAAGACACACAAGAAGATCTCTAGTGTAAACTGTTGATACAACATAGGGACAGTCAAGTTGTACATACGCATTACACAGCACTTGTACTGCCCTTTGGGTAAGTTGTACCCGTGCAGTGCTGTTGACATTTCTCCTGGTCCAGAGCAGCTGGGGAGGAGTGGGAAAGGGCTTTTAGCCCCATTTGTAGTTCCCCTCTTCACTGACACTGCTGTGAGAGGTTCTCACAGTGTCCATTGACCAGCTGGGGTTGTACAAGAAATTTAGTCTTTTACAGTCTCTAGACAATATAAAAATATATAGGAAGAAGGTGTCTTTGAGTACTCTGTCTCCTACAAAAAGATTTCTTTACCTTATTGAACCACCCAGGAGTGGGCTGGTGGGTGGGGGAAATATATCTGAAAGTTATTGCATGCAATGATAACAGATTTGTCCAAGGAATGGACAATGCCTGGGATACCCTGAGTGGCAAATCACGGCATTCCCTCTGGCATTGCTATTTTTACACTTGCACAAAATGCTTCCAAGCACCCATAAAAGCACTGACAAGTCTGGGACCTTACTGCAGCAGCACCCAGCATCGGCCAGGATGCCCAACCTGCTCTCCACTCCCACTCAAGCTGATGGTGGTGTCAAATGCCCCTCACTCCCTTGACTCTGATACTATTGCAAGACCCTACTAGTATCGATGTATGGATTGGTGGAGAACAAGCCAATACTAAAGTTTCTGTTTCACAACAAAGTTGGGGAGGACAATAAATCATCACAGAACATTTTGGCCATTCTTTTAAAACATTGCACAATTTTGTCAAGACAGGAAACCTCAAAATTTCATCATTTTTAAAGGGGATTGAGAAAGCTCAGAGTTTTGCATGCCGTGATTTTACTATGGCTTCCTGAATGTGAACAGAATACTGACACTACTGTGAAGAGATAAAAAGGATGTTGCAACAAAAAATTATTGCAGTGGCTGCTCAGCTAATTTGGATGGAGACAATTTTTTTCCCTCAGTGATATTAACATTACTCTGTAATTCCACTGCAGAGGTCAGGATTCATTACAGAAGCTTTTATTTCAAAAGTTGGTTTGATGTTACCGCTCTTATATCCAGTGCCAGTGAAACAATCAACAGTCCTCTGGATTTGTTTTTGGTTACCCCCCCTCCATTTTAAGATACGTTTGAAGAGTTTGTGCAATAAATACTCCCTTCATCTATTTAATTTGGAAGTCATCTCTAATCATTTCTCGTCTTCTTACTGCATTACTTCAGAATGATTTCATCCCAGGTGGTGACCTAATATAAAGCCAATGTTAATTAATGGAAGCCAGAAAGCCTTGGGTTGTGTGGAAAGTAAGAAAATAAAAATATAATGTGTGTGTGCTGGCAATGGTAACTTTCTTTTGATTCATACCTGAGAGTTTAGTTTATTCAGTTGAGACTGTAATCTCTCATTAATTTTCTGCAATGCTTCTTTCTCCTCATTAAGTCTTTCTCTGTCAGATCTCTCCTTTCTGAAGTCTTCTTCATATATTTGTACCTGCAATCATTATGACCAAGTATGTGAATTTCAGCAGAGTCATGATGGAAATTTTCATCCACTTGGTTTGGTTGCTTTTTAAACATTAGCCAAGCAGCGGAATGCATTCCAAAAGAATCCCTCCTCTTTACAATCTTGCAACAAAAAGCTTCCCTCGTCTTTTTTATGACCAAAGTGACAAGCAATGGCTATTCTCCAATGGCACCCGTCAATCGAGACAGTCCACAGCTTCAGTATTCATAGATCCTTGTAATTTAAAAGGCTGACTGGTAGATATCAGTTTTAAATATTATAAATGAGATAGCAAATACTAAAGACATGGATCTTTTTAAGGGATAAACAGTAGTAGGACAAACATTTTACCAACATTTTTTCCAGTTTTCTCTTCAATTATCAGCCCTTTTAACTCCTCCCTGTACCTCCGAGGCAAGCAGTTAGCATCCTGGTGGAGACAGGAGGTGCTGGCACAGCACAAAAGACTGAATTCTAGCACATGGTCTGACAGAATGTTATCACCTTATCCAACCTAAGGATGAGCCACTGTCGTCAAATAACGTCCTGCCTTTTTATAGCCCACTGAATACCATTGGCCTTGAGCCTGCTTCATTTTATCCCCTTTCATAGCTGTCTGCAGCTTTACCTTACTCACTGTGCTAGCTGTCTAACCAAGGTGTGGCCCAAAGGACTAATCTGTGCAGAATAAGTGATAGTATTTAGAGCCATGGTCACATATTAATGACCAGAAGACTTGGACTAGTCAGCACTGTCAAGGAATTTAGACCTTGGCTGGAGCACTGTGGAAAAAAAAAAACCCAAAAACCCTGTAGGAGGTTATCATGCCCCAGATGTTAGAAACTCTATGTGGAAAAATAATTGGCGCATGTACCTTTTGTCTGCAGTATAGGACTTCTAATTCATCCTCTCAACTGCAGCCCAAAGAACCTACCCGTCCCAGTGTAGAAGCAGAAGGGAATTTTATGTACACAATTCAAAATGGAAATACAGTGGTTTGACCCTGTTCCTGGAAGGTAAGCTGCCTTTCAAATACTGAATGATGCAATGGCTTAGCTCTTCTTATGTCGTCAGGAATCATAGTGCTTCATCCCATTAAAAAGTATCTGACTACCGCAGGCACAGGCAGCAAGCACACAGATTCAGAAGCAAAACACAAATCTATAAATTAACTGGTGTTAAGCTGTATGGCTTAATTCTTCAGCTAACGGGCAGGCATCTACCTGGTAAGAAGCTGGAGGTTGGTGGCACCTGTACTGACAAATAACAACAAAAGCACGTTGGGGCGGGAACCACCACCAGAACTTTCAGAAGTCCTTTCATGTCCTCTTGGTTGGTCGCTAAAGCCTGCTAACAGTCTATTTCCAAAGAACTTGCTTGCTGTGGCTCATGCCCTGCCCGTCATACAGATCTAGTTTTCTTTTTGCTGGCAGCAGCACTATGACTTCACAGGAGGACTAAAGAAATGTTAATACCTCAGGGGAAGAAAAAAGTCAACACAGGGCTCTATAAATTATTTTCACAACTTGCCTGTTGCAGCTAATTTTGGCAAGGTTTTTTTCGGACCCAATGGTCCCCCACTAGACATAACCCCCTTCCTGAATAACACTGTGTGAAAGGAACAAAGGTTTTCTGTGTGGCCGCGTGGGGACTCAGCTCCACAGCCTGTGCCTGGAGGAGGCGTGCGCGCCCTTGACCCTCCAAAGCAGAGGCAAAGCTGTCACTTGCAGAAATCTAGGTCTCTTGTATCCCTGTCCATCTACATGCTTCTCTCCTCAGTATTTCCTCATTTCTTTTCTCCCAGTTCCCTCTCTGCTGTCCCACCTCCCTCCCGCTCCCCAGCTGTACAATCTGCTGAAGCTGCAAGGGAACCACTCTGTCACAGTTTTGCCATATATTCTGTTGCCCTGAGAAAGAGGGGGACATCTCCCAAGGAATGAATGCCTTCATCTATGATTCTATGATCTCTTCTGTCATGGCCAGGGATGGGCTGATGACAGCCAAGCTCTGGTGAGACTCTGTCACGTTGCTGTTTGTCCCAAGAGTCCCTCCTCCGTACAGTTAGAGCCTTCTGCTCCATTTCGTGCAGAAGGAATTCTGGACTCACTGTACTGATTCATACAACTAGAAAAAGACATTCATAAAATGGATACCCCATGAGAATTCTGAAAAAAAATTGGTTTACTCTATTTTATTGTGTAGAATGAAATAACTCATTACTGTACAATCAAGTGCAGAATTTTATTCTCCAGCATGTGGCAAGCATTACATTAGAGAGCAAAATCTGGCTCTGCTGTCAAACGTGACAGAAACAAGTATTTTATTCCCATTGAATAAAATTCCCATTCTGATCACATCCATTTGTGTGTCAATAACGTTAACCCTAACACTGTCCAGGATGACAGACCTAAAACATAAAATTATCTGAAAAGTATCATGTTTTTAAACAGATTCTTTCATATAGAAAAAAAAAAAAGAGTGCACAAAGCATTTGAATTCCTCAGAACAAAGATTAAAAAAAAATAAATACACTTCTCTATAGTGATTGGTATGCTGGTTACGGATGCAAATGTTTTGCCTCACACTTTGAAAAACTGCAATGCCAACACTCTAGTTTTCCAAGACTAGAATTCTTAGATAATTCACTAAACTTTCAATTTCTAAGAAAAAAGGAGCAGAAGACACAATCAGTAACTCACAAAGTTTAGCATTCCCTTTGGATGAAATTCAGCCCCTAGCAGAGAGCTGGCAGGACGTCTCCAAGAGTCAGGAGAGCCATTCTGCTGCTTAAAGTCCTACACAAGCCCTTGCTCCAGTCCTTTGTAAGGACTCAGTTTCACTTCGTGGACGCTGCTGTGATGACAGCATCTTAGGAAACACCATTTGAATGGGCTACGGCTAAACTGGTTCTTCCTGTCAAAAGCTCTACATAGCAAGTCTACCAGGCACAATTCTTGGGAGAAAGGGCAAGATCGTGCTGTACGAAATCCATCCAGGCTTACTTCCAGCTGTTCTCACCTGTTGTCTGAGAACTTCAAGTTGGGTTCTCATGTCCTCAAGGCTGTTCCTGTCACCCTTCTCTGAAGGAGTCCCAAGAACAGGTGACTGCTGCTTTTTCAACACATCCAGAAGGGCCTGCAACGTCAAACAGCAAAATTACTACACAGAGATTCACTACACACACACACACAAAAAAAATCCTTTTAAGTTATTAGAATGTCTGCCCTCCAAATAAACAGATTAGAGTGTGTCACAGACTTGTGGGGGTTTTCCCTTCATTTGCAGTTGCTTCAATTATATACACCAGATATAAACCCCATGAATAACATATATACATGATTAGGTGCAAATTTTCAAAGTGCCCACACTACATCCATGAATTTGAGACAGTGTCATTTAGGGGACTGTGCTTTTACTTATAACTATAACCAACATTTACCTATGGAAATCACAGATGCAAATCTCATTCATAAACACCATTTTCCTGTGCAAGTCAAAATTTGAAAAAAACAAAGACAGGTGTCTAAAGTCAGCTGAGGCCAAAACCAAGCAAACAAAAAAACCAAGAACATAAAAGCAATGTTCAAAGATGGCCTAAAAATGTGACTACACTAAAGTCTGACTGAAACTTTTTTTGCACTAAGAGTACACATTTCTTCAACTGGAACTGAAGTAAACCCTCTGGTTGAGAGGAAGTTATGTAGTCTCTATAGCTTGTCACTAGAGGGAGTTACGAATACACACACCACATGGATAATGCTCTTGCTCTATTTTTCAGTCAAATTCTGCCATAGTTCTTTGCAGATTCTATTTATTTTTAACAGTATTACACAGCTGTCCCTCGGACTGTGATAATTTTTAAATTGCTCTTACCCCCCTCTATCAACAACCACACACTACACTTACAGATTTCTTATTTCCCTAGCACAAATAATTCACCGTTCAGTACTTTTCAATGTCTCTCACATAAGATATGGACTCAGCTAACTCAATCCATCTTAGAAAGTTCAATTCCTGCTAATGATCCCCAGCTTCCCCTTGCTGGCCATACTCCATTCATGCCATAAGGGAAGGAGGGAAGATAATTTGGAGGGGGAAGAGGCAGAGGGGGAAGTGGCCAAGCAGGAGAACCAGTATCTAAAGTAACCCAAGGATTAGTATTATCAGAAGGCCAACAAAATTTTTTTTAAAAAATTAGTACCTTCCACAAAGAGCACAGAAGAGAATAGGGAGGCTTTTTATCTGATGAGCTACTGTCCCTAAGAATTGTGCAGAAGCGAAATTGGTATAATGGTGGCAAAGTTTGTTGTGCCATGTCAATATATAAATAAGGTTGAACATAAACATGGAAGGATGACGATTACTGATTAATCCCCCTTTTGCCCCTTTGAGCCACTGCTAACCTCTTTTAGGCTATGAAATTGCAGTGCTCTGCACAAACAGTAAAACAAATAATAAAAACAAGTTTCACATTGGCATTTAGACTGGGCATAGATTGCCAGCAGCAGCCAGCATCAGTGAAGTCTGACAATATTGCAGTACGTATGATGCGTTCCCTGGCTGACTGCAACCCAGATCCTTTCCCAGGCGTGTGGTTTGTTAAGCGTACTGCTGGGGACAAAGACAAGTGAAACGTGCTTTTCTTCTTCCCCCTGCCTACGTGGGATACATCTCAATCTTGCTGACAACCACAGAATCATGAGACTCATTTGGGTGGCAGGGGACGTCTGGAGGTCCAAGACCCTGCTCAGAGTTGGGCCAGGGAGGTCAAGTTGCTCAGGGCCTGTCAACTGAGTATTGAGCACCTCCAAGGAGGGTGATTTCACAGCCTCTCCAGGCAACCTCTTCTTCAAAAAATATTTGACCATCCTGAAAAGAAAGCACTTCAGATGCCCTAATTCAAAGATAACTGAGTGACCTTCCTTCACAACACACCATTTTCCCAGTCGTCTGCTGCACCTACTTTTTATATGGCTCTGTCTTCTGTAAAAACTGCTTCACTAAGACGTATCTTACTGATCATGGCCGTCCTGACATTGCCAAATGGTAACGTACCTTTACAACTGAAGTATGTATAGTCATGAGCTGTTGACGATTCTCCTAATTCTTGAACAAATGTCACTATATTGACTATTTTTCTTGCAGCTCACTTCCTAGAATCATATTATGATATAGACGTATTAGGTATTTGGGCAGTTCTTCAGGTTTTTTTGTTTATTTGGGTTTCTTTTGAGGAGGTTCTACATCTCAGGATAATGGTGAAAAAAAGCCAGAAAAATCCAGAAAATTCGATCTTCAAAAGGTTAACAGTAGAGAAAAATAGGGTGAGGATTTTTTTAAACCACATTTGGAAGTAATGCTGTGAGACACCATTTTCTCACTTCAAATATAATAACAAACTGTAGATGAATAAAGCTGAATTGGTTTAGGGTCATACTAACCCCAGATCAAAATCTTTGAGGAAAGATTGTAAAAGACATGCTGAGAAGTGCTAGGTATGGGGAGAAAAAAAAGTAAAATTTTGTAATGTTGCTATTAGATCAATAGCAAATTATTAAGAATTATGTCATTATAGGAGATTCGGGTTCCCAAGTATAAAATGGAGACAAAACACTAATAAAGCTAATACTCCAAGTTGTAACTGGAATATTTTCTTTCAAAATTCCCATCACTCTGAACTGACAAAAGGTGGGGCTGTTTTAGAGTCATTTACGGAATAAATTATGATATTATTGTTCCACTGGTTTTAAAAAACAACTGTGAATAAAATTATCATGAGACACTTCAAATTAAAAGTAAATAAGGTATTTTAAATATGTAACTAAGATTTGTAATTTCAAATTAGCAAACTTGAGAAATGACAGAGAACTTCTAGGCACCTTCTGTAATTGCTCCTGTATGCAATTTTTGCAGATCATTTGGTTATTCCTACTTCATTAAAAGTCAAAGTACAAAAAAACCCAACTTAACAAACCACTCCCCTACCCCCCAGAAAATCATATCTCAAGGAAGCTGAAAAAAATTGTATAGGAAAATGAAGGATTGAAGAAAGGATTTGATCCCAACAGAAGCTACCACTTTTGGTAGCTTTTAGATGAAACTGCAGGGTAAGAGAGACAGTCACACTGAGCTGTATGTTGCAAAATAAATTAAACTATAAATTATATACATATAATTGTAACGTATTTTGTTTCCACTATAAAAATGAGTACAAGGAGGAAGGCATTACACAGGAAAGCAAGACTAAAGACAGTATTTCCAATAAGGAGGATAACATAGAGCACTGTGGCAGTGGCAGGATGGCTAGCAGCAAGACATACCGATAAGAAACAACTCACAGCTCACTGCGTTAAACTGAGCTTAACTTAATGTGGTATTAAATAACATTCATTCAGAAGTACTGAGAACTGAAAACTGAAATTGCAAGACAAGCAGCACAGAGGTTTTCTGAATTTTTCCACGTCAAAAATCAAACTGTATGACTGAAAAATAACTACCTTGGTTTCCAAAGCTATGAAAAGGATAAGTGGTCCATGCACCTAGAAACCTCTTAATCTAACCTCAAGAAGTGTGCCAGGCTTGGGAGGAAATGTTGAAGAGTTGCCTTATAGACATGAGAAATGGGATGGAGTAAAGCACTCTTTAACCTGGTATCTTTCATAAAAAACAGATCTTCTTAACAGGAGAAATACATTAAAGCTTATTAGTCTATGTTTAAATAACAGTTGAGATGGTGCTGCGGAAAAGTTATGAAATAAGTTTTTTGAAATGAATTTATGAATTTTGAAATGAAATTATGAAATAAGAAATTCTGCTTGTACTTCAACTATTTGGTGAGCAAGGAAACAACCACAGGAAAGCCAACAATCTTGGGATATAGCATTGCAAACTATTATGGCATTGCAACACCACTGTCATGCCGCAGACATCAAAGTAGGATCAGAGTGGACTCTATACTTTGGGTACTCTGGATTATGGGATCAAAGTGAGATGAAGCCAAAAGAAAAAGATCAATGTACTTAAAGTAAAAAGGTTAATGTACTTAGAAACAAGTAGTAGTATCTTCCATAAACTGAGAACGAAGCAGTTTAAAATGACCAAGATGAAAAAACATGCATATTAACAGGCATAGTTGTATTTTAAAAGACCAGAAGAGCTGGGTCAGCTTAGCTAAACTGTCCTCTAGTGACAATACGATTGCTCTCTCTAGCTATAGGGAAGGAGCAAGTGCCCCTGAGAGCAATCATATTTTCAGTAGAGGACAGTTCTGCTTCATGGAGAGGACAGATCTGCTTCACGCAAGGAGTGAAGCAGATCCATTCGATACTGCTACCAGAAGAACAAATTAATATCATCTCGCTGAATTTCATTCAGCCCAATTGAAACAGATGAAAGCATCTAATGAAAGAAGGGTTGCAGTTCCAGAACAGCTTTCCAGCAGAAGCACAGCAGAAGGGGCTTAAGTAATTTCAAGAAAAAAGTTGTTTAATTTCAGAGAATTTGTAAGAACTTCAAGCCCCTGCAATAGCAGGGGACTAGGCTTAAAAGAGCACAGAGGTTCCCATCCAGTCTTGTGTGCATTCACAACATGAGATTTGAAGAATGCAAATACACAGAAAATCAGTAAAGTATTACTCATGGCAAAGTGTATTACATGAAATTGAAGTTTCATTTAAAAGTATGGTCTGTTTACCCATCTGTCTTAGTTCCAACCACATCATAAGAAAAGACAGCAAAATAAAACATTGAAATAAGCTGTTTTATAAAAAAGACCTTCAATGAAAGTTACAGTGAGGCTTTGAGCAAGTCTTCTTAATGCATTTCAAAAAGAGTTAGACATCATACATTCTGTCAGATTTTTGAATATGGCAACATTACTTTTTTGCCTTAATTTTTGCACATCATGGCCCTTTAGCTTGTGCATCACTTAAAGTTACACAGCAATGGTTAGTGCAGTGCATTTCCTCAGGAAGTGTTTGTGGTTCACCATGAAATACAAAATTGTTAGAAAACACCCACTGCTTTATGTGATCTTTTGATTAAACAAAGCTACATTTATTACTTTCCCTCAGTTAAATAAATCCCATTTAGGCATTTTATGGCAGTTTCCTCAATGAGACATATATACACATACATACTTGTATGTATGAATATATATGTATGTATATAAAAAGTAAGACAGGAGCATGTCTTGTGAAGAGAAGCCATTTTTCTCAAACACAGAAAATATGTAAACCAACAGTTTTTAAACTGTCTGAATGTTTTTTAATCACAGTGTTGCACTGGATACATATGAAAGCATCTTTGTGACATTTCCCTTTTGTTCTAAGGAGGGAGAATGTAGAAAGAGCTTAGATATGACACACAGGGAGGCTTCACAGCAGAAGCCAAAGATTATTTTAACTTTCCTCTTTACAATGCAATCCTACTACCTACCAAGAACAGCATGCACTGGTATAGCTAAAGTAAGTTCTTGCTTGTTTCCCTAGCTCCCTAACAATAATCATGAGGGTCTGGAGCACAAGTCTTATGAGGAGCGGCTGAGAGAACTGGGGTTGTTCAGCCTGGAGAAAAGGAGGCGCAGGGGAGACCTTATCACTCTCTACAACTACCTGAAAGGAGGTTGTAGTGAGGTGGGTGTCAGTCTTTTCTCCCAAGTAACAAGTGATAGGATGAGAGGAAATGGCCGCAAGTTGCACCAGGGGAGGTTTAGATTAGATATTAGAAAAAATTTCTTCACCTAAAGGGTTGTCAAGCACTGGAACAGGCTGCCCAAGGAAGTGGTTGAGTCCCCATTCCTGGAGGTATTTAAGACGTGTACATGTGGCACTTAGGGACATGGTTTAGTGGTGGACTTGGTAGTGTTAGGTTAATGGTTGGACTTGATGACCTTAAAGGTCTTTTCCAACCTAAACGATTCTATGATTCTATGTTTCTATGAGTTTGCTACCACGAACAGGTTGTTCACCCAGGATTGAAACAATGGGCATCTGGTAGTGTCACTGACAACAGAAACCCTGGAATTAAAAGAAGAGGTCCTGGTCAGTGGCTCACTCGTTCATACCTTATTGAGGCGACTTATTTCACACTCATAGTGTTCTTTCTTTCTGATCATTGAGGCATTCTTCTGCTTCAGGAGCTTGTTCTCTTCCTTCATTTCATGGAGAGCTTCACTAAGGACCCTTGTTTCTTTCTGGGACACAAAAATACAGAGATAGGCTGCTGAAATGCAGATGGAACTATTTTTCAAGAACAATTTTCAGAATATCTCCTGTCTGGCAGATGTGCTGCATTTTCGTTGTCCCAAACACAGCTGGGAAGGGAGGGAACAGGAAGGCAGATGGTTAGTAAAACCCAAATATGATAAAGTCTGTTGAAATTGTTTTGACCCCTCACCATATGACGAGACAGAGACAACGTACCAAACCAAATCCCTGCTCTCTACAGTCTGCAGTTGCACAAAGCTATGAGAAAGCTGGCAGGCCAAAGCAGATCAGTACCATAGAGATGATCATCCCAAACCTGCATTACTCTTATGTACTCATAGTGTAAGGCCAGGGCTAAACACTGGTGGAGCCCCAGCCATTCCCACTGTCATGCAACATTAAAGACAAAACCAGACCTCAGCATCGCATAGCCTGAGGGCTTTTTCCACTACATGAGAGACTGAGGCAGGTCTCAGCCTGCTCAAGAACTACTGAGCTACCAACCAAAGCTTAAAAATCCACTTTCTTTGACCCCATTGCACTTGTTGACTTGAACTTGACCCTTCCTAGTGCATGTGCCTACACTGTTGCCACCCCAGCAAACTACCAGGAAGATGTCCCTACTTGCAACAGGATGTATGCAGTAGTCTTTCAAGATGGTATTATAGGAATTATTAGGACAGATTTACCAAAAAGTTTGATTCTTTTCTCTTAGGGCTTTCAGTGTGGCTATTTTCAATTTACAATGAAGAAAGCTAAGATCCAAATCAGATCCTGAAGCAAGTGGCATTGTGTAAGCTTCTCTCCCAGGGTAATGCATTCCTCACTAACCCGCTTTTGCCAGACTGTCTTAGACCAAAGCGTTTAGACATATGAAACAGAATGGCCCATTTTACAAAAAAAGAAAGTATTTCAAAAATTCTTCAGCAGCTGCTTCATGTGATGAAAAAAAATGAGATCCAACAATCACATGCACAGGACACCATATGAATGCTTTTTTTCACGTGCAACAGGCATATCTCTGTGTAGCCAGTGACTAGGCATTTACTGTTCAGGCTTACGAGAAGTGCATCACCATGTGCTAACTGAGCCACTGAAAAACACCTTGAAGAAACTGTTGCCTACACATGAGGTAGCTTTATTTCCTTTAAGTTAGTTGGAACATTTCATTTTCTCCAAAAACTGGGCAAGATTAGCAGGGTATCTTTGCATTAAGTATAGGAACTCACCCAGGAGCTAGTTCAAGCTGGCATGTGCATGTATGTTTTAAGATACTAAAGAAAAACAAAACACTAAACTCCATATAGGCTTTTAGCTATGCTCTTCTTTTCACCTTTGCCATCCTCTTTTCCTAGCTCCTAGCACACACTGTCCTTCTCAGAGGCTGACACCTCCACAAACATGGCCATTTACAACTAAAAATTTCTGGTTTGTTCAGGTTTTTGAACCATCTGAATTCTTACATCTTATTGCTTCTTATCTTCTTATTCGACACAATCTTAGGTGTTATGGCACCTACACTTCCCAGTGACTAGGTTGGTCTTTGATTCCTGTCTTTGGGTACCTAGTCATGCCCTGAGAGAACAAAAAAAGAAAAAAAAAAAAGAAAAAAGAAACCTCCAAAACAGTCAGTTTTTCTCTGTGGGCTATGGAGGACATGGGGACAGATAAAGTTCACAACACTATCATTCTCTGAGAGCCATACCTCCAGGTGCACTGAAAAAAAAAAATAGCTCTCTAAGCCAGCAGCAGCATGTAATCTGTCTCAGGTTTGTTTGGTGCTGCTGGTTTTCCTAAATGGCTCAGCAGAGCACTCACAGAACTGCCACTCTGAGTAAAGAAATTTAAAAAGTACTGCCAGGCTGCTGGACTAGATAAGCAAGTAGAGAACAAAGATCTTATTACTTTGCTCTGGCAATTGCCCTGTACAGCCCATCCCAGCTCCATGGCTACAGGGGGGTAAGTAAAACATTTAAAAAAGAAAGTGTCCTTACCTTTCAAGAAAAGAAAAAAAAAACCCCAAACATTTACACACACACGCATATATATATAAAAAAACAAACACAGGTATGAAGAATGTTAGTTGCTGCAGAAAACAAACAAACAAACAAACAAACAAAACCATAAAGCCCTAAAAATCTAGTCTTGGTAGATCTATCAGCTTGGACCTCTTCCACATCTGCTGAACTTTAAAGCAACAAGCCTGCTCACGTGCTTTCAAGCTGAACATATCTTTATGCATTTTCCTGAATCATCCCCTGGCACTGCTTTTTCTTCATCCTGCCCTGTGGGCAGCACAGGGTAACTTGAGTTGGCACAGCTGCTCACACAGGTGTTACAACCCTTGTTGCTAATTCAAAAATCTCTGCTTTTAGCAGCTACCTCTGCAAAGGTGTAGGTCCCCTGCATCCCTGCATGACATGCAAAAAGTAAAGAAATTCAGAGTAAACAGAAGCACTTAACTGGCTGAGTGTATAATTTGTAAAGAAATTGCTGATCTAAGGCTGAAGTTCCATGCAGATTAACCTGTCCCCGTAAGAATTTTTTGGATTATATATGAATAATGAACTAAATGACAATATGTAGTAAAAAAAATTGGCAGAGTGTACTGCTCATCCTTACCTTTTCAAAAAGGTAGCTAGGGCTATTTTTCACAGCTATTGTATATTAAAGGGCAGGCAGTAAAAACCTTAGTAATACGAACAGGAAGATGGATTGTCTCACATTGAATCCACGCTTGGAACAAATATAGGCAGTGATTCAGCAAGTACGTAATGACATATTTTGCTTTAAAACATGTAAACAGTCCTATTGGTTGGAAATCAAGCACGTGCTTTGCTAAGACCATACCGTAACTGATAAGCAAGATGAATGTTCTGCTTATGAAGATGAAAGCTAAGGGCTTTGAATTTCTTTTCCTGCAGCAGCTAACTTGCATCTTATCTGAGCCTGAAAATGATGTGATTGCCACTTGTTTTCAAGTTTGTTTCATGTTATCAAGCGAATAGAGAAGCTTGACTTCAGCTGTCAGAGCACCATCCAGAAGCTCTTACAAGAGGTTATGAAGTGTGTGATACCATGAAGCAGAATGAGAACAGGAAGCACCACCCTGTGGTGCTTGTAAAACAGGACACAGTTGTGTGTATACTTTGGGCACGTATATGCCGATCACTCAGGTTGGTGGTTTTATTGTGGTGGGAATTCAGCTTAGGGATCTAGCTTTAGATGCGAATGCCTACACAAGAGCCAGTGCCTAATGAGTCCCGAGAGAGGTGCCTAACCACCCTCAGGGTGAGGTGAACACTGCTCTAGTGCAGCTGATCAGCCCAGGCACTTTCAGCCCTAATAACTGCACTGACTACATCGCCTAATATTTACGGGGAGCTGAGATAGCTAGCACATGTATAAAAGCCTTTACTGTCAATGCAAAAATGTGGGTGTTGAGCTCAATTCTTTCAGTATTTATTGTCAAGCACTTTGTGTAACACCTGCAATGACATTCCTATTCCATTTGAAATCACTGTGGCATTTTCCTTCACAAATTCACCCCAAACCAAACAGCGAGGAAGGAAATCTCTGCAATATTCCGATCAATCTGCTCTTTAGTCCCCTACGCACACTAATGCCATGCTCTCTCCCAACTTCTACTGAAATGACTCTCTCTCTCTACATTGTTCTCTGATCAGACAGATCAGCCACTGCCTTAGGTACAATACTGAAGAGCACTCAACACCACAATCTCATCTCACAGCTGTGCGACAACCCACACCCTGCCACTCGCAAGAAGAGAAAGAGGAAAGGCAAGACACCGCTCGACACCGAGCACAAACGTGATAACAGAGTGCACCCTCCTACCGTTCCCTGCCATGGCCTTTCTCTGCCCACGGCTTGCAACCTCTCATCTTCTGGATGCTGTTGATGTCTCTCTTCCTCCAGCTCACTGACTCTCCTCTCTGACACGTCCAGTTTTGCTTTCATTTCTGCCAGCTGAAAAGCAAGTGACAGACCATGGTGGGCTGACTGAGGATCCTGACAGGCAGAGCACCTCGAAGGTGCCTTCAAATCCTTTCAGCTCTCAGCAGATCAGCGTAAAGGAGCGGGTCTGGTTGCATGTAAAGTCCCCAGCCACTTACTTTCCCCTCCCCACCTCCAACCTCTGCTGCTCTGTCTGCAGTGGAGACTCTTCATGATCCTGGGCAAATTCTCTGTTGGCGTTAACCCAGTTGGGTCTTGCACTGTTTTGCTGCCAAAGGACAGCTACCATGGGTCTGTCCCTCCAAATGACTTTTCCATTTTAATGTTCTTTTATTTTTTTTTTTTTCTTTTGCAATTTGGACTCCCTCTGCAGTGGTGCACATCCAAATTGATCTAGCCAGAGGCATAAAATGGTCCCAAATTAAATGGGGAAGAGCCATTTAAGTTCCTCTT